TCAAAGGGGGCCTAAGAGAGGAGAATCAATGAATCATAGGATATATAGACAAGAGGATAATCATCTGCTACTTCCTGGCCCTCAACAGATCAGCACAAGAATAACTGAAAAATAAGTATGAGAAGAACAAGAGTATTAAAAAGAGAGAATAAAAGATTTTAATCAAATGATAAACATCTTAAGCTGATTTCTATTAACCACATTCTCTATTACAACACATATTATCTATGCCCCTTAAAAAGCCTCTAGTGGTAGTGGCAGTGAATCTTATCACCCCACTATTGCCTTTTCATTTTTTATAGATTGGTCCTCGATATCTTTCTAATATCTATGCCCCTTTAAACACAACAACCAACAAAGAATTATTATCACATTCTTGTTTGGATTAACTCAATAAATACAATGCATATACCCAGTGAGACTAGAGATATCTTAAAAGTTGAGTATTAAAAAAAATTTAGGAGAGGGAGGCCACTACTAAAAAAGGATTTTCGTGGACACTCACTTTCATTTCATAGGCAGCCTACAAGGACATCCACATGTAAAAAGATTTAGAAACTACCTAGTTAAGATCCGCTTGCAAAAAAGCCAGAAATCCATTTTTACATATCTCTTTGCGAAAATATGTTTATTTTTGCATAGGTTCATATGCGAAAAATAATTTTCACAAGCTGCCTCCTTTCCCTTTTTCTTTTTTAACTCCTCCCAGCTCCCTTCTCTCCCTCTTCTCCTATACTTTTCTCTCCCTCTATCCCTTAGCTTCTCCACTTCTCCCCCTCCGCCTCCTTTACTTCTCCCCTCTAGAGATCGGCAAGCGAAGTGAGACACCGCCGGGTCGGCGTAACGACGGATCCACCACCGAGCAGCACCGCAATGGGTAGATTTGTTGTCGTCGGCATCGGGGTGTGGGGAGGGGTGATGGAGGAGGCCCCGGTAGCGAAGGTGTGGAGGCACGGGGAGGGGTGATAGCGACGCCACAACAGGAGCCACCGCTATGTGGCACCTCAATGAATCCGCTGCCAGGTAGCACCACGATGAGCGGATCTTCCGCGGGCTGTTGGTATTTCTTAACGACATTACTAGAAATATAATTCCTAGCAATGGCGCAAAATACTCCTGGTATATTATGGTTACAGAGTTCATCCGCAAGCGCACGGATATACCATTGTATCATTTCACCTGAGAGTATTCCAAGGGTATCGTATTTATTTAATCCCGTGGGAAGATCATAATAGAGAGAACCTGACTAATAATTTATATGTTACTTATAATAATCATAGTCTAAGCAGGGGTTAAGATAATCCAAGGGTAGAGTGACACACAAGCAGGGAGCTACTTATTCTCATACTAAAATATCTAAGCTAAGTGGAAAGAAAAGAGAAAGATAATCTATTCCTATACTTCTAGTATACATAGTATACATACATCTTAGTTATCTGACATACTAGCTAATACCCTTTATCCGATGCTCTCCTGGTACTTCGAGAAGCCACCCCTGACTGCCGAGTTCCTTACGACTGCCCGTCATGACCATACAACCGGGGCTAAATATGGAGGAGTACCCTCCCCAAGAAATTAACTTAGGACTGTATACACGCGCGGAGGAATACCCGTACTAAGCTGTCACCATCAGCGGCCCACCTCTCATCCGTAGCATATAACCCCAAATAATGATATCCCGTAATCTAGACACCACGCCTAAACTACCAGATACTACTCTAATATCATCATCATGACATAGAGTAATTGCATAAGCAAACACTATACCCGTACCGATGCATCTCCTAGCTAAGCTAGCAGTATAATCAGTATAACTTGAACATACTATAAAGTTGGCATTCGTATACTAGGAAAGTATTTCAATACCATAAATGTATAAAGAAGAGTATTCTAATAATAGTACAAAGCTTACAAAAGAGAATAGAAGAGCTACTAGAGCCATACCCGAACTCTTCCGAAAGCTTCCGGATTCCGATTTCTACTCTATTCCTATTCCACTAGCTTGAGAACACTAAACTAACTTGAGAGAATATGAGAGAGCTTTTGCTTGAGGTGTGTATTGAAATGGAGAGAGTGAGGGGTTTATATAGCCTCCCAATGACGGTTGTGACGGTTGGAATGGTCAGAAATACCCTCCAACCGTCATTGGGAGCCAATCTACACCGTCCAGAAGAAGCCCTGCATCCAACGGCGATCAGGGGAGTTCGGCCGAACTAGGGGCCGGCCCAACCAGCCCATAATTTGTCTGGTGGCCTCCTGGACTTCTCCACTCCGCAGACTTCTGAACTTTGGCCCAATTAGTCGTGTCATTTTTGAGTTCTTGGCCCGTTCATTGATAAGTCTGATTCTCGATATCGTCCGATTGATCGATCGTCTGATGTGATGTCGATTCTCCTCCATTTAATGATTATTCTCTGCAAAAGGTTAGTGAACCTAATACTAGTGGAATATTATTATTCTAACATGGATATGCATTGCAAGTATAACTAGTTCTCCTCTATTTCGGTAATATTGACAGTCGAAACTGATCACTAATGACCGTCATCACGGGCCTCGCGACAGGCAGATCCGCCACCATCAGCATCGAGGTGGGGAGGGGCAGCACTGGAGGGCCCAGCGGCAAAGGCGTGGAGGTGCGGGGAGGGTCGACAGCGGTGCCGTGATGGATCTGCAGCTGGCAGCACCACAATGGGTGGATCTGCCAGCCTCGCGACGAGTGGATCCAGTGTCGTCGGCGTTGGGAGCGACGACGACGATGATGAGTGGCGGCAGACTGCGGTGACGACGTCATCATCGACGGCGGATTGGAGATGGGGTTAGGGTTTATTTTTTGGATTTTTATTTTTTTCATGATTCTTCTTTTCACATGCAGGTGGCATAGCTGACCACCCGCAAAAAAAAATTGCCTACGGGTGTGCCGCCTATTTGGAATAATGTTGATTTTTACATACATCTCGGGAGAGGTGGGTGGCTCCATCGTTTACAAAAGTCAGTTTGACCGCTTATGAAAATCCCTTTTTAAGTAGCTAGTACTAGGTAATTGTATGCATGCATACACACATTGTAGTATTAAATATATAAAAAGTGATTGTGCCTTATATTTCAGAATAGAGGGAGGAAACCAGATAATGAAATAAGCTAGCAAGTGATACTGAGATATTTGATAACAAAGAACATAACGTATGCACATAAATTTTCCGTGCACACCATTTAACAAATATTACGTAAAAATTCTAGAGAAAAATGGACATGTATTCCTAATAATATTACACATATCTACAAAGTCTCATAATCAAATTCATTATATTTTAGCTATAACAAAAATGTGAAAAAATTTGTCAGAATTTTATCTTTTTTGTTATGGCTAAAATATAATAAATTTGTAGATAAGATTTCACACATAGGTGTAATACTCTTAGAATTAGATCTCCATTTTTTTTCTAAAATTTTCTGTGACATTTGTTAACTGGTGTGCACGGAGTGTGTAAGGGAAGCTTGTGTTTTCCCTTGATAAAAAAAATATTTTGCTATGACACATTATGATTTTTTTCTTATGCCCATTTTTTTAAAAAGAAAGTAGTAAAACAGTAGTTGGGTTGACTGGTTACTCACACACACACACACACGCACATATATATATATATATATATATATCAATTATTCCAAAACAACTAGAATAAATATATATCCCTGTATAGATCTTGCACAACATGGATTCACTACATTTCCATGCCATGGTTGTTTTACAAATTAAAACACCTAATTATTATGATGCAGTATAATTGTATAAATACACGAATTAACACTCCTCTCGTCCATCCATATCAAACCCATATCGATGTCCAAAACGACACATATAACATGATAACATTTATCGCGACATCGGGGAAGTACCTAATTGGGCACCTGCTGATGTGAAGTATGAAGTGATCATCCATCGATCGATCGCACACATGCATTATGGTAGCTGAATAGTTAGCCTTTATATACAACCAATGGTGATGGATCGATCGACACGATGCATGATATGGACGAGTTATATGCTACGCTACCTCACTGGATTGGGCTATCCATCACCATTGGTTGTATATAACTGTATTATTACTTCCTCCGTTTCACAATGTAAGACTTTCTAGCATTACCCACATTCATTTAGTTGTTAATGAATCTAGACATGTGTATATATTTAGATTCATTAACATCTATATGTATATGGACAATGCTAGAAAGTCTTACATTGTGAAACGGAGGGAGTACTTAGTATATTACGACTCTCTCCGTGTCAGTTTGATATTATAAGGCGCTTTAATTATTTTTTAAGTGAAACTTTTACAAACTTAACTAAGATTGTAGAAAAAAATATAATAATTCTTATACCCCTAAATTAGTCATGTTAAATCAGTATTGAATATATTTTAATAGTATGTTTGTTTGTTGTAAAAAATATTTCTATTTTTTCATAAATTTGGTTAAGAGAATTTTAATTAAGAAAAAAGTTAAAACATCTTATAGTATAAAAGAAAGAAAACGTAGTAGTATATACTTCCTCCGTTTCAGGTTATAAGATGTTTTGGCTTTGGTCAAAGTCAAATTGTCGTTTCAGGTTATAAAACGTTTCGACTTTAGTCAAAGTCAAACTGCTTCAAATTTGACTAAGTTTATAGAAAAAAATAGTAATATTTTGAACCCAAGAAAAATTTACTATGAAATTATATATAATTATTGATTTGATGAAACTAATTTAGTATTATAAATGTTATTATATTTGTCTATAAACTTAGTTAAATTTAAATCAGTTTGACTTTGACCAAAGTCAAAACGTGTTATAACCTGAAACGGAGGGAGAATATAATTATATATCTAATGCACACACAGCTGCAGCTGGCTAGGCTACAAAGTACGGGCGTGCACTGCATTGTATGTCATGCCATGCGTGCATGTGTGTGGCTGACACGGTTGGGCCCCTGCCCACTAATCGACCATTTGTAGCTTTCCCGGTGTTTTGATCTACCGACTGAAATGCACCCATGGATGGATGGATGGATGCTCCTTCTCTTCTCCCTTCTTCCTCTATTATATTAGTGCCCCCTCCTTCCCTCTTCGGCTCTCATCTTAGCACGCTAAACCGGCTTCCAAGATGAAGGTTAGTGTTTCATCTATTGAACATATCCATGCTTATTAGTTTCGTAATGTAGATACTAAGTTTATGTATATGTAGTTCTCTTTTGGAACTTGAGTTGTTAATTTCTTTTTGTAAATATTTTTTGTTTGGTTTGGTTACGTTGCTGGCCTAGCTGATCATGCTTTCTGGGTTGAATAAATGTAGCTACAACTATTAATCCTTTATTTTGTTTTTCCATCATTGCCGTTGTCATCATCTTTCATTGTCATCATCATCTTCTCCTTTTGACGATCTTCATCAGATCTTGATCAAAAGTAATAGACCATGCATTTTCATGATTGATGAAGTTCATAAAAATTTCTGATCCTCATATGTGTATATGATCAGCTCTTAGGTTGGATGCATCGAAAGCTACGGAGTAATAATGACGTGTTCAAAGAGTTCAACACCGGAGGAGGTATGCACGCACAACTTAATTAATCTATTTTTTGTCCTTTTTTTCTTATGTTTAATTGATGAAGTATAATTGTTTTGAAAAATACAGTAGCTCGTAACACAAACGCACTCACCTCTAGTACTCTCTCCAGTGTTTTTATATATTAAACTAACGTCATATAAAAAATTGAAGTTAGTATATATGTATAATAGTTCATCGGTACATGCAGAAAAAAAAAAGAGTTTGTCTCTGGTTTTAGATCTGTAAGCATGCCCACAATAATGAGAAAACCACTGCAAAATTGTTGGCCGGCCGGTCCCACATGTCATTGACCAGATTAGCCGTCTGAAGTGCTGAACTGTATGGAACACTAGCAATCATCAATGGGAGTTTTGCACTCTTGCGCTTGGTCACATTGGAGATGGCACATCTATCTATAATATCACACATGCCACTTTTCTTCCAGCCTCAATATCTATAGTTCCAGCACTAGCTAGCTAGCTAGACCAACTATTGCATAGCAAGAACCCTATATTATCATTTTGCAGATAACATTTTCTTTTCCATGTAGTAACATTGCCATGGAAAGATCACGAGGGCATGTCTATCTTTTGTGAAACTCTCTCTCTCTCCTTTTGAAGGCTTCCTTTGAGAGTTTTCTCCTTGTTGGACTGTTGCTCTTAGGCTCAGCATGTTAATATCAGAGTTTTCGCCCGTTTTTCATAAATCAATTGTGCCGTTGTAAGATTTTTGCGTCCAGTTTTCCTTATAAACTGGACCTCTCTGCCTGTTTCCTCGAGAAAAATTGTCCAAGAGCATTCTCGACGATTCAACAACTAGAATTCAACAAATAAAGATTTTTATATATGGTGCATATGGTACGGTGAGATATTGTATTTTTAGTGTGAGATACCAAAAGAGCTACAACAAATTAATACGATAAAATAAGGGAAATTTCATGGACTAACTAGTTAGAAACATATTTTGAGTAAATGAAAATTTTATTTTATTACCTTGGTTTACAAAAGACTTATAATAAGTGCTGTCAAACATCTAAAATGTTAAATTCTTAATAGACGAAAAGTATTAGAATTTAAAACGTGAAAATTATATACTTTTTGATGAAAAATAGTAGGAATGTGAAAATTATATTAGTAGACTTTTTTTGATGAAAACTCTTTCATATAGTTATATGTTAATTTTTTATAACTATATAGTTTGAGAAAGTAATCATATAACTTTTGCATTAAAAAATGTGTCAATGTCCAAAACATTATCTTAATTAACCCGGTCCTTCTCCTCCCAAAGGAACACATAAAAAAGGACAAAAACCAATACATCTTGAAAAACTTACATAGAAAAAGCTTAATCATATTTTATATCACCCTGATCCCGTTGCAACGCACATGAATGTAACTATTTCTTTTTAAAATGGTGTTGTACTTCATAAATTTGAAACAAAAAAAATACATATAATGTAACCCTTTTAATTTCTGAAACACATCAAAACTTTTCTTTCTCAAAAAAAAGAAAAGAAAACACATGAAAGCCTGCATAATTTTGCATGCAAATGATCGTACTCCTTCCTTTTTAAGGTTACAAGACTTTCTTACATTACCCAAATTTATATAGATAATAAATCTAGACACAAATATATGTGATTTATTAATATGTATATGAATGTGAACAATGCCAAAAAGTCTTATAATATAAAATGGAGAAAGTATTTAATACTCCCTCAGTTTCTAAATATTTGACACCATTGATTTTTTAAACATGTTTAATCATTCGTCTTATTCAAAAATTTTAAGTAATTATTAATTATTTTCCTATCATTTGATTCATTGTTAAATATACTTTTATGTATACATATAATTTTACGTATTTCACAAAAGTTTTTGATAAGACGGACGGTCAAACATGTGCTAAAAAGTCAACTGTGTCAGATATTTAGAAACGGAGGGAGTAATTCACTGTGTGACTGCAGGTGGGGCCTGCAACTGCATCACCGGGCTTGCCTCGCCTGACCACGACAACGACTACTTCTCCGGCGACGACGCCGCCCACGCCTCGCCGCCGGTCACCGCCGGCGACCTCTTCACCTTCGGCGGCAGCGGCCTTCTCACCATCGGCACGCTAGGCATCGCCGCCGTCGCCATTCCCAGCGGCGGCGACGACGACGACTACGACATCGACTTCGAGGTGGACGCCACCAGCGACGACGACGGCGGCTTCACCGTCGAGGACGACGACGCCGACGTCGGCGGCGCCGTCACGCCCACCTTCACCTTCCCCGCGGCGACGGCGGCGGAGGCGGTCGTCGCCACCGTGGAGAAGGCAGTGGCCGCGGTGGAGGCGATCGCGGAGAAGGACGACGACACCACCACGGAGGACGACCTGATGGTGGTGAGCGCCGAGCTGGAGAAGGTGCTCGGCGGCGTCGACGTGGCGTCGGCGCGGGTGAGCTTCGCCATGGGCGGTGGCGTCGACTGCCCGCTCCAGGGCTTCCTGTTCGGCTCCCCGGTGAGCGACGTCGAGTCGCGCCCGGAGTACCTGCAGGCGCCGCGGGACTCGTCCGGCTCCTGCGGCGGCGGCGGGCGGCGCACCTCGCTCGGCGAGCTGTTCATGCGCACCCGCTTCGCCGACGAGAAGGTGGCGCTCGTCGCCGTCGCCGAGGGCGAGGACGGCGTCGCCGGCGACGACGGCGCTGCTGCTGCCGGCGTCGGCGGAGACAGAGCGGGGAAAGGCGGCGGCTACAAGACGATGAAGAAGAGGAAGGTGAAGGACGAGAAAGGCGGCGGCGGCGCCGCCGGCGGTGGAATGCCGGCGACGGTGACGAAGAGCAAGTTTCAGAAGGTAACTTTTTTTTTTGTTGTTGCTAGCATTTTAATTTGCTTTGAAGAAAACTATAAAATATCTGCAATTTTGGCTGACTATTTCATGAGGTTTCCTTGGATATGATCATTTGATTAATTAGTTCGTTCGATTGCTATAGTTTTAGTTCATTTTTCTTTAATTAATTTGTAATAAAACTCAAGAGTTATTGTGAGTTTTTTTTTTATTATTTTTGCTTCAGTACGTGCATTTTCTACTAGTGAAACTTCAATATTAACCAGGCCAGTCGACATTTCTTAATTGTGATTTGATTTAAGGGTCAAGATTAGAACTATAGATTGAATATGCAAAGTTTCAGCTCGGACGACATTTGAACATTTGACTAATTATATATTTCCGAGTTCAATTGTTTGCCGGTAAAATTCTGAACTTGCAGTTGGAACATTCAAGATTCAACTCTGATTCACATGATCTCGAACTCAATATCTCCAACTTTATAAAAAGACAAAAAGATTACTGCTCAACGGTGAGTTTAATGAAGGAATGCTCATCACAGCAAATCCATAATTCTATATAACTCTCTGTAATATGTAATGGTAAGAAACAGATATTCATGATTAAATCATTTTTCCCCTTCAGAAAGAAATACTGATTTTTCGTGGTACATCCAAAATTACTCCAAAGTTTACACTGAATTTCACGCTGTTCTTGGTGTTTAAGATTAATTTTAGGTAGATATTTTCTAGTCCCGCAACAAAGCTGACAATGAAAACCCCAAAACTAATCCTAAATGAAATTCTAAAATTAAGAAAAACAGCTTTAGATTATAAATTTTAATAGTAAGTCCAAGGAAATAGCCAGCAATGTTAATAAGATTGCTGATAAGAATATATAACAGTTTGGAGCCAATCCATTTCACATGTGTATCCTGCTCTGGGACATAAGTAGACACAAATCCCGAGTTTTGACTATCATCTCATAATCGGAAGATCTTTCACTGTGTCGTCAGATTCGAGTTAAGTTTCTGTAGACCAACTTGGTGTGTCAATGGTGTTGTTAGGAGTGGGGATACTGGGGGCAGTGAGTTGACATGCGATTTGTTTGCAATCTCCTGTCTAATGCTATCTTTATGGATCATTTCATTTGTCATTTTTCGTTTGCCCCATAAACAACAAGGGATTCTTGATTTGATATATTATACATCCTTCTAGGTGCTCTCTTGCATTTCTTTTCCTTGGAGAGATGCTCCAAATATCCCTCAAAAGAAATTCTAGATTCCTTTTGCTACTACTTGGTACTTACATTTAATTTTGTTACAACGAATGAAAGAAACTGAGTTTCAGAAAGTGATCAAAAGTTGACAATGTTCTGAAATGAGGAAACATCTGCTCATTGCAGATCCTTCAAATCTTCCACAGGAAAGTCTACCCCGAGAACACACTCCTCACAAGGAATCTGACCAAGAAGAGCCGCAACCGCGGCGCCACCGATAATGGCGGTGGCGCCGTGGCCACCGGAGACCCCGACGGGCCTCTGGCCTCGCCGGTGCTCCGGTGCCGGAAGGACCATCCCATGAGGGGCTTCGGCTGCTGCACCAATGGCGCCTTCGGTGCATCGTCACCGGGAGGCAACGCCGAGATGAACGGCAACAAGAGCGGCCACTGGATCAAGACTGATGCCGACTGTGAGTAGCACTGCACACCTTGGTGTCTCCATCCATCTTCAATGGATCTATCTTTGCAATCATGCATTCAGTCTTGACAGCTACATCTTTCCATACTATTTTTGGGGAATCTTCCAAGAGCTATCCATCACTAGTTTCTGAGTTACTGTGTGCTGATGCACACACTGCAAACATTGTGCTTTTTCACTGAAACCCTGTCTCTCTGATCTGATGCAGACTTGGTGCTGGAATTATAATGGGGAAAAGAAGAGGAGCTATTTGTTTCATCAAGAATTAAAGCTTGAATAGTGAGCATCTCATATATATGAATATGTGCTTGCTGTTACAATATAATCTCTATCTGTTTGGTATAGAAGGGCTTGAATGTGCTGTATATGTCACTATATATTGGGGGGGAGAGGATTACTATGAGATCAACTCATAAGTGTGTGGTGTTTATATACATTGCTCTGTGAATGTATGACAGAGATCAGAACTTAATGTATTGTATGCTTTCTTGATGTGATTGGTGTTTATGAGCCTAGCTGATGGCAATATTGTGTGTGGGTCCACCCCTAATCATGCTTTGTTCTTGAACTCTTGTTGGTGGCTTAGCTTGCATGCAGGGGATGATGATCCAGTGACAGTGATGGCCCCTAACTACACATGGACATTGTCCTCATTAGATTGCCCTCTAGCTAGAATCATTCCTTGGGCCCTGTTTGAATTTGGGAGATGTGTTAATTAATATGGCACCATTTGGCCAGTTGTATGTTGTCCATGCTGGATTAGGGAGGAGCAACTCATCAGGTTCAGTGTTTAGTTGGGACATGTGTGCAAGTGTCTGAAATGTATCTTGTTCTTGTACAGTGAAGGATAGAGGTAGACCACTGAAGATCTGTTTGGTAGAGTAGTAGTTCTGCTAGGACTGAGGCCTACCATGCATGCATCTCTCATGTACACAAACTATTTCAAGGCAAATACTGTGGCTAGCATGGCACCTTATACAGATGCTTACTTTGGCCACTTACATTTTGGCCTCATGTTTAGGGAGATTCTGGTAGACTAAATTTAAATTAATATTTTTAATACTTCATATGGACTAGTATATTTGTGGTAGTAGGAATAGTATATCTCTTGCGAATTCTAGATTACATAGACTAGCATATGCATTACAACATACTCATATGTCTAGGGCTATGAATCTAGCAGAAATCATGGCACCAATTTTTTTTTTTTAAAAACAACTGCTTAGTTTATTGGTTTGGTTTTCATGGCAGTTACGTGCTGTGCGCACAAGAGGGGGAGGGCGGACTGACGACTTTGTCTTTTAAGTAGTAGAGAGTACTGAAGTTTAATGATATGGTCTTCAAGTAAAAGAAATTGTTATAAAACAACCATTTGAGAATTGAAGGTTTCTTCATTTTTTTTAAATGAAATCTTCATTCTATGCCATTGAGAGCGAAAATTTATATGGTATTTGTGTGTTTATCTTCCATAGGTAGGCTGGGCACATAAATTGATGTAGATGCTGAATTGATTTTCATTATTTAAAAGGAATCCTAACTAACAACCCTCCCCCACACACACAAAAAATAAAGCCGTACGTCACTCAGCTGATGCAGTGTGGGGAATAAGAAGGCAAGGAGGTGTTGATTCGTATCAGAGGTTCGTTAAAATATAATTACAACAAATAAATAGGACCAAAATCCATGATACTGATAATTAATGCTTTCCAATTATTAATCCAAGATTAAACGAAACTTAATTATCATTAATAAATAATGATAATAGTCTTCGCGTTTTCTTCTCACTAGGGCTACTCGTTTAATCGCTCTTACAATCCCGGCCTACTCTCAAAATGGCAAATCCTAATTAGCAGAAGAAGTTAAATACTCCTAAACCCGATCTTATTTAGGACGAATGTCAATCTCAAAATTTAGACCATGAACCAAAATTAGCTACAGCTATAAACCTAACTGTTGCAGCAGTGGACAAATTAAAAGATACTCTGCACCAGCAATGAATCGCACTGCTCATTTGAGTACCATCACTCGAGATCCAATCCAGTTACTCTGAATGATTCACGAGCTAGTGACAGCTCTCTGAACTATGATGATCGATCGATGTACAGTTCCCGACATGACTTCTCACAAACAGGAAGAATTTATCAGGACATTTGTTGGTCCTTACTGGCAATGTATAGGTTGAGTTAAAGATATGATCAGTGGAGACATGCATCCCTGCAAATCCCCTGTACACAGAAAGAGACTAAAACATGTGTGACCATCGTTCCTTCTTTTTCTCCAGCAAACAAGGATTCCAGCTGTGGTAGCATGCTGACCCCAGCTGCTTGGGTTTTATCCAAGGGTTATGAATACCGGTTTTGCACAACAACTTGGATATTTTTTTATTAGTATTAGGCTAGAATAACTCTAAATTTAGGGTTCAAAATTTTTATTCATGGTTCGTATCATTATCATTCCCGCCATTAGCCGCCTACTAACCGATCCCCGGTTTTCAACTGGCTACCTAGCTACCGACCTGACGACCGGTAACCATGAGTTTTTAAAACCATGGTGGTGTTAGTGTCTGCAAAAGGATGGTTCTGATGATTATATGGCACTGGGAAACACAAATAGACCGTTCAGAAAAGTTTCTCTAGTTTGGTAGGTAGGCTATCAATTTATGGTGGGGCATATCAGTTTATCAGTTCTCAAAAAAAATAGAGGATTGGAGGAGTACTCCATGAAAGCGTTTATGATGAAAATAAACTTGCTCTATAGATTAGAGGTTAATTATTGCTACAATAGATTTGCTTGAATCTATAGACATACACTACACATTTTCTCTATTTTATTTACTAGGTTGGGCCCACCATAGATCTTCTTTCACGAACTGATTTGGGAGAACAAAGGTGGGGTCTACCCGGTGTCGTAGCATGCGCCTATATATAGCCGACGTTAATTTAGTCGCCGACTATACGGTTCTCTTTCCTCTCCTCTCTCTCTTCCAACTCACCCAAAAATTTGACATGCCATATATATGGATTGTTGGGGGAAGACTATTAATGTGCTTGATGCCTTTTGTAGACTAGCTTGATTGGTAGTGGCAACTGTATTAATTAGTTTTAGTTACATTATAGTAGAGACTAAAGGTTGTCTTATATATTGGTGCTAATATTTGCCTCAACAATTTGAACCTAAAATTACTCACACTTTATTACAAATGTGTTTTTTTCCTAATAATCTTATCACGAAAGTGGCATGACCATCTTTTTTTAGCAACACGCATTCAGACATACAATACTAGTAACATGCCTGTGCAACGGTCAATTTGTTGACTAACTGCTTTTTTTCTTCTTCTTTTTTTTTTAGGTAGTGGAGTTGCAACTCCACTTTTAACTAGTTGAGAAAAGTAAACAAAACAATCTCCTATAAAAGTAGTACAGTAGAGAAAATAACAAAAAATACAATCTGGTATAGTTTGGTCTTAAATGAAGGATACCATTGTCATTAATTGCATGATGCCATCTCCATTGATCTATATCCGTTGCTACATGAACCACTTTGTGCATTTTGTGAGATGAGGCCGACAACGGTGGGGAAGCACATCTGACCGTGCTTTTCCGTGATATATATTGTGCAACGTGTTCATCAGCTCTTGTGGCCTAAGTTTGTTTGGTTTCCTCATGTTGCTAAAGTAAATCTTGTGTGCTAACGAACAGGCAGGCAATAGCCCTTGGATTTTGGGATGAGGCCTGGCAGGCATCTATCTGCAGTCTTGTGTTTTTTTTTGGGTGATCAATTAATTCAGTATCAAAGCTAGCTCCTTGACCTTTTGGATTTAACACTTAACAGTATGATGCATGTGTAAGTGCGAATTAACTTTGATGTAACAGAGGCTTAACATAAGATGCCAAGAATCAACTAATTGTGAGAGATCTCCGTACAGCTGTTCACTTTTACATTACATCTCCCTTAGTACAGAGCCATGATGAATTTCGGTCAGGAGAAGAGTTCATCCAGGGCCTCTGGCCAATATACCAGGTCAACTGCTCCACGAAAATCGTTATTATGTTCAACTAAATCAACTAAACATACTCCGTTGCAACTAGGGGGTGTAAGCAGGCAGATAACCTTCTTATTTATACTATAAGTGGGTTCACGGGTTTGCCCGCTTGCTCCTTTAGTTGTAACGTACGTATGGCACTGAGAATGTTCCAATCCACTGGTAATATATACATGATTTACAACAGGCCAGGTATATATAATTATGAATTGGTTTGTTATATGGATTAAGGATAATAAATCATAGCTAGGCTAGGCTGATATAATTAGGAATTGGCTGAGTAAATTTATTGAGAAAAAAATTCAACCAACCAATTTCAGATCATTAAGGCTAGACCTTTGCGCATGTTGAGAAGGGGACCGAAGGAGAACAAAGTAGTAGCAGAGGTATTTGTTATGGCCTACGTATGGCCTTACATTGCAGATCATTAATCTTATGTGGAAAAAGTACACCGAAGATCCCTCAACTTGTCATCGAATTACAAAATCGTCCCTCAACCGTAAAACCAGATATATGGCATCTCCCAACTTACAAAATCGTTCAATTTCGGTCCTTCGGTGGTTTTGACCCAGGTTTTATCCGACGTGGCGGTTGAGTCAGCGTGGGACCCATGTGGGTCCCACATGTCAATATACCACATCATCACCATATCTCTTTCCCCTCCTAACCCTTCCTCCTCTCTCTCTCCTGTCACTTTGCTCCGGCGGCGGCTGCGAGGCGGGTGAGGAGACCCGGCGCACGGCAGCGGGCGACGAGGCGGCGGTTGCGAGGAGGGAGAAGAAATCCAGCACCCCGCAATGCGGCGGCTGCGAGGCGGGAGAGGAGATCCAGCCCTCGGCGACGCGGCATCAGGCGATGAGGTGGCGGCGGCGGCAGCAAGGCGGGAGAGAACATTCGGCGCCCGGCGATGCGGCGGGAGGGTAACAAGGCGGCGGCGGGTGCGCGCTCGCCTTCCTCGAGCTCCACTACCCAGCACCCGCCCACGATGCACGCGCACGGCCGCTACATGCCCACGTCGTTCTCGCCTCGCTACCGCCTCTCCGGGCCCATCTTCGGTTATCGCGGAACTCCATTGGGCCGCCGACGGGGTCTCCGTCCTTGACCTCACTAGCGCGGTGACGCCCTCCCCTTCTCCCATGTCGTCGCTGACACCGACGCCTCCCTTCTCCCCCATCACCGTCCCCGCTGCCGCCACCCGCCACTGCCGCAGCGCCGCCCTCCTTCTCTCCCGCCTCCCCACTGGCCGCCCTACATTCAGAGGTAGAGAAGAGTGAGAAAGTGGAGGAACCGAGGAGGCGAGAGAGAGAGGAGGGGAAAGAGAGATGATGATGATGTGGCATATTGACGTGTGGGACCCACGTGGGTTCCACGCTGACTTTGCCGCCACGTCGGACAAAACCGGGACCAAAATCACCGAAGGACCTAAATTGAACGGTTTTGTAAGTTGAGGGATGTCATATACCTGGTTTTACGGTTGGGGGACGATTTTGTAATTCGATGACAAGTTGAGGGACCTTCGGTGTACTTTTTCCTTAGTCTGCCGGCTTATTTAGCCCATGGGTTGACAAGCCCATTAACAAGCCCAATCCAGCCCACCTCGACGGCTCGGCCCAATCCTGAAGCCCGGCCCACCCAAGCTACCTAGCTCTCGACTTCGCTGCTGCGCTTGCCCATACTCCAGAGTCCAGCCGACCCGACCCAAACCTCACCGCCGCCGTCGCCGTTGCCGCCGCCGCCGCCGCGTGCGCCCCTGCGGAAATCTAGGGTCCTCGGCGGCGTCCCCCTCGCTCCGCCCCCGCGTTCTCTGCGGCGGCCTGAGCGACGCGCCGACCGGCCGAAGGCTCCGCGTTGAGCTGGCCATGCAGGTGGTGGGGACGGCCGCCGCGTTCTCGCCGGCGGTGACGCCGTCTCCGGCGAGGAGGCGGGCCGTGGATTCAGGGAGGAGGTTTTCTCGAAGCTGTCGGTCGGGGAGAGTTTCAGTCTCAGCAGTTGGGTACTCCCAATTGGAGGTGCAAAGCTCTCTCTTTTTATTCCCCCCTTATCCATTTTACAATTCGGTGCTAAGAATTATTTATTTTTGTTATGTAACAAGTGTAGAACAGCTTGAAATGAGATGTGGCACCGGCAAGTTCTATCTTCGTTGTTTGGTGTCTAGTTGTTGTTTATATTGTTTGTATATATATTTTGCAGTTTGCTGTTTGGTAGTAGGAGTAAAGCAAATGTGTTTGTTTTAGGAAGAAAGTAAATGATGGATGGATTAAAAAAATGATGTTCATGAGGATCGTTCATTACAAATTTACATGCTGGTGTGCTATTTGAGCTATTGCCGATTCGCCGTTCTACGAGTCATGTAGATTATCTATGATCCATGTGCTCTTTTCTGCTCTGTGTATGCATTTTTACCATTTTTTATCATTGTGAAATGTATTGAACATCACCTTATTTTAGGTCAGAAGAGTTAGCTATCGACCTCCAGGAACCGAACAAAACTTGTTGAATGAAATTAGCCTCAATCTTAAGGAGAAAAGGTAAGCAGGTATAATTGTTGTAGAGTAATTTTATTTCTGGGGTGACTCTTTTTCTGAATGTTGCATGCTCATGCAGTTTTGGATTACTTTTTGGACGAAGCGGGAGCGGAAAAACTACTCTTTTGCAGGTTTGCATAAAAAATACTGCATGCCTTGTTGAATTCCCTCTTATCCTCCATCTTAAGGTGACATCTTGATTCTTGATTTCTCAGCTTTTGGCAGGTCTATCGGAACCTACCCATGGGACAATTTGCATACAGAAGTACAACGATAGTGGAAATCCTATGGGTCCACCAGAATTATTAACTGCTCAAAGAGTTGGTATCGTGTTTCAGTTTCCTGAGAGGTTTGAGTTGCCACTTTCACCATTAAGTAATATAAACTCAATAAGTTTGTATATGGTCAGTTGAAATGTTTAAACTGTTCCAGTAAACAATAAGATCGTTTACATATCTCATGTAGGTACTTCTTAGCAGATACTGTGCTTGAGGAAATTACTTTTGGATGGCCACGGCAAAATACAGACTTTCTTTTTAGGGAGAAGCTTGCTTTAAAACTTCAAAATGCCATTAACTCGGTAATGACTAATGATTATCCTTCAAAAGTTCTTTAGGATTTCGATTTGTACCTAATAGAACATTTTATCATACTTTCCACTGTTAAGTGAGCTCTTGCTTGGAACACGAACTATTTACCCTTGACATAATTTGTGCTATGCATGACATGCTAGGTTGGTCTGAATGGCATTTCATTGGAAGAAGATCCACAATCTCTAAGTGGTGGGTTTAAACGGCGACTTGCTTTGGCAATTCAACTGGTATTGTTTGTTGTGGTTTATTAATGACACTCTTTTGTGTCTTTTTTAAAAAAGCAAGATGTCATATATTTCTGCCTCCTTTATTAATTTTATAATTTTATAGGTCCAAACTCCTGATCTATTATTGCTTGATGAGCCTCTTGCTGGTCTTGGTATGTGATTGAATGCCTATACTGAAGCATTCAGTATTGCTCTATTTCATAGTCTGTTTCCAAACATGCATTTCTTTGCAGCACAAGGATGCTACCAAAAAGAAAAATAATTATATTAGAAACAATACGTGTAGTTTTTATTAAAATAATTATAAATGATGATGTATTTTCAATAATTTACCATCAAAATATTACATAAATTCAATGGTCATGTTTTGATATCTGAAATGACATTATTTAGTATTAAAGCGACCATTTGTTAATTCTTTTGTGAAATACTATTTGTTAATGGTGTGTTGAGGTCATCCATCTGTTGTCTAATGCACTTCTTTGTGGGCATCGTATCATCTCTGTTGACAGTTGCTGTGATTATTGTTGATAGCCAAGTATTGCTGCGAAAGTATTATATAACTGTGGCATATATCAAAACTTTTCCCTCAATATCAGATTGGAAAGCTCGTGCTGACGTTGTGAATCTTCTCAAGGACCTAAAGAAGGATCATACTATACTGGCTGTAAGTCATGACCTAAGGTAATTTAAAACTTACATAAATGAAATATGTTGTTTTTGTCCACTTTCTTCAGATAAGTAGGTAGTTTATTTGCCCTCTACTCAAAAAGAAATATTCTTCCTTTGTGCTCCATCAGAATCATATTTGAGCACTTTACAAGTTATTTGTTGGCTTGTTGATAATCTTGACTAGTAAGTTTTTGAATGCCTTGCAAACATTCTGTAGGGAATTGTACCCACTAGTTGACCGCTCATGGAGAATGGAAATGGGGGGAGTTTTGAAGGAAGAAGCTTTATCTGTGTAAGGATGCTTCTGTTTGTACTGTCAATCAAGCTGGCACTGTATACTAGCTGTCTCCAGATCAGGTTCGGTCAACTAGACAGCTGTATCTGTAGTCTTATGTTATATTGGTCTGTAATACTTTTTTCACAGTTACAAATCAAGGATGGTCGTAACTAAATTATTTGGTCATAAGTATGACTTGTGCAGTTTGAGAATTTCAGGAGCAAGCAAATGCAAGCAGAACTTCAATGGAGAGATAATTGATTTTTCTCCAAATTCCCACCGCTGGAACGAAGAAACAATGTCTGATGCAGATTTTTGCCTGGGTAAGGGTAAGATGCCTGTCTGCCAGGTAGCTGAATTCCAACTCCAGAACTGCATAAGCCATTCCTCCGGGACAGGGTTCTGCAAAAAAATGCAGGGTTCGCATAAAAACCTGTATAATTTGGAATGCAGAGCAAAACAACACTGAACATCACACTGACATTTATGCTGAAGAGGAGCTAACTGATTGTGCTACTGTTAGGAAACATAAAAAACCTTGTTCTACTGCCTGACTATTCCATTCGCGTATGTACAACCCGTTCTCCTCCAGATTTCTTTGATCTGTTCTATATTGTACTAAATAATGCATGAATCCTTATTTTCGTGCTTCCCTCCATTTGTGTGATGTCTGTTGAAATGTCCCATTCATGCAACGATGTTACGGATATCATAACATAATATATTTCCACCATAATCCAGGAAATAGGTACACCTTGTGGTCAACAAATTCTGTTCCCACTGTGAATTCATGCATACCATTCCTGATCTTGTGTGCTATATGTAACGTGTTTTTGGGAAAGAATTGACATTTCTGTTGTACTGTAAATTGCATTTACTCTACTTATGGACCACATATATATATGAGCATTTGCAATTCTCAAGTCAGGGAGTATCACTTTTCCATCCCTTCTAGACTACAATGGTCACTTTCACAGCTCATCCCTTTACTCATATATTCCAACCTTTGTAAACCCCACGTGTTTGGAGTCCCTGTCACCACCTGCCAGAAGGGACTTATGTATGCAATGCAAGAACAAGTCAAGGCTGCAAAAATGCTAAACAAGTGATCTTATCCAAAGTATGTCATTTCTGGCCAGTAATCTTTTAACAATTATCAACTCTTGGCATTGCTAATTAGTTCTTAATTATTAATGTATTGTAGGAAGGCTCCAGGAAGGTGAGAAGGTTGGAAGGATTTTGGTAGGTTGGGGTCATTCTCTGATCTGAATTGTGGTGTCAGTTTTTCCATCATGAAAGGACCATCTACCTGTTGGTATAATTTATGGGTTTTTTTCCCCTTTGCTTCTTCCTATTGTCTGCTCATCAGTCTTGCAATATGTCGACATCGGTCATCACACATGGAGCTATGTAGGTGACCTGGACCTTCTCAAAGGGAAACACTAATGGTGACTGAACTTCTGAGGGTAGGAATGCATGTCTGAATTTCCTGTCCATGCATTTATTTTGTTGGAAGGTTTGTAGGCCGTTTCCCATATTCCTGCATGAACTGAATTGCTTTTTAAAAAATTCTTATGTTCCTATACTTGCAGTAGAAACAGACATTCTGTGTGCAGCTAATGTTGGACAGTAATATTTGGTGGTGAAAAGCATTAATGTGACACTAATAACGTGCCCCTGGGGTCGACTACTTATATTTGGATCAGTGTTAATGTCTAGCTGACAATCTTTGCAATTGTATATTAGGCTAATTAAATATACCGTTGTATATAGTAAGATTTTTTACGGTAGAAGTACCTCCATACTAGAGAGCTAAAAAGTACTACAATTTATGCCTGAGACTATGTTCAACAATACCTAGGTTATATGTACCTTAACATGTATTTGTCTCTGTTTGCTGAGGAAACAGAAATCATTAAGATGATCTTTGTTCACCCATTAATTTGTCCCTAGCAGCGTTTTACACTTCAGAATGCAAATAACTCTTCGGGTGGTACTGAAAATTTGAAATTTACAATATATTTTCACTAAATTTGAACCTTTTTTTTTTGCTCAACTCAAACAAATTTTTTTGGCCAAAGGCACATCCTACCAGTAGGCCAGAAATTTCATTCCAAAATTGTGAACACCCGGTCGAATTTCCATTTGTTTCATCTTAGCCCTCAAGAGTTCCTGTTCACTTCTCTCCATTGCCCCTACTTTTAGGACATCATTCCATTGTATATACTGTACTATTTTTAATTTGCAAACTCCCACAGCAAGGCTTTTCATCTATTAGTATGATAGAATGTGTGAAATCACAATAATTTGTTTTCGGTTATGGTATGAGTATAATTACCTACCTACAAAACCTACGCATATATCCAACACTTTGGTATGGTATGATTTGAAATCTTCTAAAGTTGACAGGGACACACAATTCAATTGCTATGACCTTGGAACAAACCCAAGTAGCTGGACAAACAAACAACAAATCAAACAGAATATCAAAGATCCGGTACTGATCGACAAAACGCCTTTCTCCAAGTTGATGAAACTTACATTTGGATCGGAGTTAGCACGTATACCAGTCTACAAGATATGCAGGATCTACTTAACATGGTCGACTCACAATGGCAAAGATGAACACTGGCATATCTAGGTGACAATGACTTTTTGATCCTTGCTTAATGCCTAAGTAGACCAGTAATTTTTACAAGTCCAACACAACCATGTCTGCTTGCGCATACAGGTGCCAACAATTTCCAGTCTATGATGAAAGAAAAGAGAGAGAGAGAGAGAGAGATGCATGGTAAAAGCAAATGTCTTGGAGAAATTTCCATATATACCAGCTGCATCTGGTTCCTAACTTTTGTCTTTTTCTTTCTCTTCTTCTGTGAGATTTATTTGTTTTCTGGATGTTATTCCAAAAAATTAATACCAACGGTTGATGTGATGTTTGAAAACTGATTACCCGAATTAATTATCCTATGTATCGAGGGTGCACCATTTTTAGCACACCGAAAAGGAGAGCTGTAACAAAATAGAAGTTTCGTGTAGGATAAAACTTAATTACCTGAATATTGGAAAGTTAGACTTTTATATATGATATGTTGATGATGTGATGGGTTCATGGGCATATATACGCTGCCTCTTTGATCTAGTGAAGCAACTCTGGTTTACGAATATGCTTTTGAATAGATTATCCATAATCGGAATTGATTTAATTAATCTTACCGAGTGAATAGCTATTTTTCAGTTAACTCTATTCCTTCTTTGTGAAATTACTGTCTTCTATATTGATACCATTGTGCTGTCAAATTCAATTTAGATACATAATCTCCCTTTCTTCACGAGGATTGAGAAAAAGCAGCGACTTTGCGTTCCATTCATGATCACATTTTACTAGTTTTTGTCTTGAAATTGGCATATTGGTTAAGAGAACCATCTTAAGACTTTTAACCTAGTGACATCGAGGTAAAATCCCAGAAATATGTATAGTTAACCCACCCAACAATTAAGCATAGGCGAGAGGATCGGAACTCAAATCACGCACATGCTACCTCTTTTTAATATACTATAAAAAATGCCCGTGCATTGCAACGGGTAATTGCTATTTTAATTTTATTATTGTTACACGGTTTAGCTAGGGTAAAATTCACTGTGAAAATTCGCTTGGATATTTTTTCAGAAAATCATCAGCTGCAATTAGGAGTATGCATTTCATCTCAAGTTAGTATGTGAGTTTTTTCAAAAGATTTCTTATATGACTCTTTTTATACTTTCAAAAGGAAACAAGCTTAAAATCCAACTCAAACACGGATTCGTATTTTCAAAAACGACAGAACTTAAAAACCGACTCAAATACGGATGATGTACCAAAATACCGGCAAAAAACATCTTCAATTTTTATAATAGTAGAGATGAAGCCGTAGACTTTTTAACAAGCATTTGACCATTCGTCTTATTCAAAATATTTATACAAATATAAAAATATTTAAGTCATGCTTAAATCAACTCACGATAAATCAAATGATAATTAAATATTTTTTAATAAGACGAATGGTCAAACATATGTTAAAAATCTAACAGTGTCATATATTAAAAAAGGAAGGAGTATAATATATCATGATCACCATGACTAGTTCACACGTTAAGGATTGCGCATGACCTCGTCCATCTCTTTTTGTTTTTGTTGTTTCATTTTTTTTTCAAAGTGCTTAGATCTGAAACTACAGCAGCTTAGCTAGAGTAAATCTATGGTTTTTTAGATGAATAGTTCTTCAGATGATCTTAGCTAGCCTTGGGTTCATATGGAACAACAACAACTGCAGGAGAAGGAAACCCTGTGTACTTCCTGTTGGGAACAGTATGGTTTCTTTTTTTTTGGATTATTCCAACGAAGCTTCTGTCTCGCTGATCGGTTCGGTTGATTCCATGCATGATCATTTTATTAGATTTTGTCTCAAAAGTGATGTATTGGTTAAGAGAACCACCGTAAGACTTTTAACAAAGCAGTTTCAATATAAAATCCCTCAAATCAAAATAGTTAACCCACCCACCGAATAGGGGTGAGAAAATTGGAATTGAAATTATACCTATAATATATTATAATTGTAGTTAGTTTGCACACGTCTGGTCCATCGTTTTTTTCTCATTTTTGCAAAGGGTTTAGATATGAAGTTATAAGCCTAATCTAGATGGAGGTGAGCAGGCTTGGCCTCTCCCATGGCTTTAAATCTCGCACTGAATTTACTGTAGATTTAGTAAATTTCATAGAAACTAACACTATTGGCCCCTTCAACTTAAAAACTTATAGTGTTTCTAGCTCCACTTTTGGTTATTTTTGGTAGACAAGGTTTCAGGTAATTATATTCTTGGATTTATATTGAGCAACATTGACGACGGTAAGGGAATGGAAACCTATGTGATTATTACCTGTTGGGAACGTATGGTTCTTGTGAAATTCCTACGAAACTTCCGCGCCCCTAATCGGAGGAGTGGTTGCTATCTATTTTACATATTTTTTCCTATTGAACACCGTCCCACGGCTGAAATGGATTGCAGATTTTGGCTTCAATTGCCTAGATGATACAATACATTGTATGCCTATTTTCCAAGCTTGGTCTAATAATTTAGCAAAGCTCCCATAGACCATGCATGGGTAAAATTTGAATGGTTCAACGTTAGAAATTTGGAGTTTTCGACACTATGCATGCATGCATGGATGGGTGCATCTAGACGTGCATGTTGTGGTAGCAATTGTCAACACACAGGAGAGTGGGAGCAGAATGAATCAAAGATACATGGAATATATTGTCCAGGTAATTAAATTAATACCCTCTATTACATATAAATACGTACACTCCTACATTGGTGTTTTCAAACCATCTTCTTGCTCAATGCAAGATAGACTTATTATTATTATCTTTTTGAAAATGTGAGTTTTTTTCACCAACTTTTATGATACTCTCTTATTAATTATGTCGTTTACTCATTCTTTTACCCAGATTAATGGCGGTCAAACAAGCAGGCCATGGCTCACCAATTCTGAGGCTCAGCTTTGTCATAGAGCTCCATTTTTTTTGGGAAAGTTAATTGAGGTAGATTAGTACACATCCATATATATAGTTGTAGCAATATCCCGCTCTTATCACGCTAGCCAACTGTAAACAGTAAAATTACATGCAAATGTATGGAAAATAAAAAAAGCCAATAGTACTGGCTGAGTGTTCAAAAGTGGCACGATGTGATGGTTTCTCTTAGGGCCTGTTTAGTTCACACATAAAAAATTTGCATCCTATCACATCGAATATTTGAACACCTATATTAATAAGTATTAAATATAGGCTAAAAAACAACTAATTGCATAGATTGCGTTTAATTTACGAGACGAATCTTTTAAGCCTAATTGCTCCATGATTTGACAATGTGGTGCTACAGTAAACATTTGCTAATGACGGATTAATTGGGCTTAATAAATTCGTCTCGCGGTTTATTGACGGATTCTGTAATTAGTTTTTTTATTAGTGCCCGAACACCCCATGCGACACTCTATATAGTACCCAATATGATACGTCAAAACTTTATACCCCTGAATTTAAACACACCCCCTTAGTGTAGATTCTTTCTCCCTTCATACAAAAATACATAGCAATTAATATAGGATGTAACACATCCTTATACTACGATTGTTCATATTTGTAGTATTATAAATGTCCATTACTATATATTTTGAGACATAGGTAGCATCGTTCATATTATATATGTTGGCTTGGATAAATATCTGGTTTTCTATTAGAACTCGGGTAGACATGTCTGTCTCGTCACTTAGGTACACATCAAGAAAACTTATCTAGCTAACATGAATTCCATTTCAACGAAATTAAACCATCATATCAACCAAAACAAACATTGGAACATATACTTAGGGACGTACTTAATTATTTGCTTAGTTTTATATTAGAGGACTTTTACAGTACACTATACTGGTAGTATATACTTGCAGTATTTATAAGGGTATAATGAGAATTTCCTAAATGATTGTAAGGGTATTTTAGTTATTCATTCATCTGTTCAATCCCTAATTCTCTATCTATTGATATCATCGTGCGTGAGTTAGGAGAGACGGCGGCGTGATTAGTCCTCGTCGGCAGCAGGATTCCCGGGCGTCCTTCTTCCTGCCTTCCACCGCAGTCTGCCCCACATCCCGCGAGACACATTCAATCCGGCATGGCTTCGGCGGCGCAACGCCCTCCACCGAGCTAGAGTTGGAATTAAAGACAATGCGCTGTTGTTCTGGCTGAAAATACATCTGATCTGTGCGTGAAATTGAATGTGTGTACATATGTACTCTTATTTACTCTTTGCCCTATCGCGCGCTCTTGCTCTCCTCAAAGAGAAGAGTTATGTTCTTTGTAAATAATCTCTGCTATTTTAATCCGAAGAATGTATATATTGATTTAAAGATGACAATGGTATAGAGAGCAGTGTACCTAGAGGATCCGGCGATCCGAGGTCAGTGCCCCGCCGGCATGCAGCAATAGATTAGCATGCCATAGTAGAAATATAGGGTTTAATTAATCAGTACGTGTAATTTACATAATTAGCCCCACCTAATAAAATAGAAAGACGAATATGCCCTTTTGTATTTTTTACTGCAATATAATTAAATAGCTATGCAAATCAATCTACACCGTCGGATCATTTATATTGGTAGTATATACTGCCAGTAGATTGTACCGTAAAAGTTCTATTATATTAAGTGAGGTTGAAAGAATATCTACTTCTTTTAGGGTTAAAACTACAACAAGAGTAGTTTAATGTCTAAAATGTACTTTTAAGTTATCCTCTGCAAAAAAAAATCTAAAATATTACGGGTAAAACATGTA